GGGGCCATTTTTACCGGGGCCATTTTTTCCGGGGCCATTTTTTCTGGGGCCATTTTTTTCCGGGGCCATTCTTACCTACATTCTGTATATATATATGTGTGTGTGTATATGTTTTATTTTATTGTTGTGTGTATAACATTGTTTTTAAATTGCTCTGATAACAATAAAGTTAATTTTACCTTATAAAAATGTTTTACCGCCAAAATGGCAGCCATCTTGGAATTTTTTGTGATGACGTTATCATTCTGATTAAATTTTTTAACGAAAGTGAAGAGTAACTATTTAGCCAAGTTCTAGTTACATTTGATATACATAGCATATGTAAAAGTGACTAAAAACATACATTTATTTCCCCTACCCCCATCTTAATTAGTCCAAAATATGATATTTTATGTCAAAATTTCAAAGTGCTTAAAAAAAAATTGCCCAAGCTCTAAGAATGGGGATTTTTTTTCTGAGACACTATATGATATACTGATTCAGAAAAACCAAAAATAAATTTTCCTTTACTTTATTCCCGCTAATTTCCTACTGCACCCAGGCTAAACCCCCTGTCACAAGTGACAGGTCGGGTGACAGATTCGCTACTTACCTAAAATGTATTACCCGCTGCCGGCGGCCGGCGAAGGTCGCGTACTAGTTTATTGTAGTTAGGCCTTGGAAGGTTAGTGATCTAGAGTGAGCAAGAGATATTTCGTTTACAATGATCAGGCACGGCAAACGTAATGAATAAGCCTACAATCTAGGATACAACAATTAATACTCTCTTAACATATTCCTACATTTTCAATAAAAAGAAGTTATAATCGGGAGCGCATGTTTAGGTGTGGTGTGATGTCAAAAAGTGCATTGGCAGTCCGTAACGAACAGGAGAAGAACTATTGAATTTCCCGCAAATATTTTTTACTGGGAATTGTTCTTCTTGTCTATACCACAGTATAATTAAAAAGAAAATACAAATTGTGTTCACACCTAAAAATCGGGAAAATTACGATGCATAACAAACAAAAAAAATAAGATTGAACTGAAGCGCCCACCCCTGGCATCCCAAGACCGAACCATTGTGTGCCCGGTGAAGATTATTATAATAGTATTTAAACATGTGTATTATAACGGTTAGTGCACGTGTTTGAATATTAATATAATATTTAAACATGTTTATTATAACGGTTAATACACATGTTTAAATGTGGTAATGTTTAGGCATGTGTATTTATAGTTATAATAATACAAAATGATTACAATGCCGCAAAATGGACGGTTCTAAATCGCCCACGACTCAAGCACATGGGCTTCTCGTTCGTGACGTTGTGCACTGGCCGTGAGAGTGAGCAATCGTCTGTAGATCGTATGCAACGAACATACAGAATATCAGTTATAAAATCAATTTAGCATTTGATTTTAATACATGACGAGTTATTCTCTGTTCCTTAATTCTAATTGTCAACTAAATATTCATTGTTCGATTCGGAGGCCCTATAAAATAGAGATTTACTACTCTCTGAGCCTAGATTGAAATACATAAGCTGTAAGCTGTAGAATAGCCCCTGGATAGCCGGGAATGTAAGTAAACATTGCTGTTGTACGCCACACGATCATAAAATAAATGGAATATACTAGAAAGAATCGTATTTTTACATTTATTTAGGCCAGCATAAAAACCAATACACCATGTCATTTTCAATACATATGTGTATTGAAAATGACCAAAATTACCATCTTTGTTTTTTGAGAACTAATAAAATATTGATGCATCTTTCTGGCTATAGTATTCTCCCGATCGCCAAGTAACGGTTTTACGTTCGCGAAAATCGTGAAAAAAGTAAAGTAAATCCACAGACGTACAGCTACTGTCTTTTTTCATTATGGTCGGATTTTGGTTTAAAACATTTTATGTTTTAAATAATAACATTAGATTCAGAAATTGTGTATACTTTATGAAATTTGACCATGATTGGAGCAGTACTGGCTGAACTGTGTCCGATTTTTTCCTACTACCAAGGTCTTGTTTACTCATTGTGAAGGCCGTTTAGGCAGCATGCAGGCAATTAGCAATCAATCATCCAACCCACCAGTGACCGTTTCTTCTAAGGGGAAGAATTTCGTCAT